TGTTTGAAAGGAACGAGACATAGAAATAATGACGTACAGTAATTGTTAGGTAGCTATATGTTTTACTCGTTACGTAGCTATAAGCGGGAGATTTTTAGGTGAACGAGACTATATTCCAAATAATGTCATTGTAAGGTACAATAGCTACATTTGTTGGGCTATGCGGCCTATACAGCGCGTTTTAAAAAGGAACGCGATATTGAAATAATGACGCAATTGTAAGGGAGTTCTATTTTTCCTGGCTCCGAGGCTATGCAGTGAGTTTTTAAAGAACGAGACTTTGAAATAATGATGTCATTGTAAGATAGGTCATCGTTTGGTATAAAATAACCAGAAAGAGGAATTTGATATTATAATACGACAGCGCTTGGACTAACACATTAGAAACATGAAAATTAGAAACATGAAAAATTTTTATGAAGGTAAATTTATAGAAGAACTGCTAAAACAACACTGGGAATATAGGTATTTCTTTGCTGATGATCCAAATGCCATGTGGGAAATTTGGAAAAAAGTTATTTCTTGAAGTCCTAGATAAACATGCACCACTTCAGCAAAAGAAGATAAGATCGAAAAAAGTCCCTTGGATTACAAGTGATATAAAGAAACTTATGAATACAAGGGACAAGTTTAAACGAAAAGCCATTTCGACAAACCATGAGAATGATTGGTTAAACTTTAAAACAGCTAGAAACAAAGTAAATATTGAACTAAGAAGTGCCAAAAAAGATTATTATTCCTCGAAAATAGCTGGTCAAAAAATTAATCCCAAGAAAGCTTGGAAAAGCTTGCTAACAACTTGTTAGGTAGGCAAAACAAACCAACAGTGGTAAATGAACTAAATGTAGTTCATTTAGTACGAGGAGTAAGCTTCTTTTTAGATCGGCTTCCATGCCACTTTATGGTGTATTTAGGTATATATACACTTTTATAAACACATATATACACCTGTATAAACTTTCACGTCGCCGCCGGGCGATGACCAATTTCCTTCAAGCTCTAAGTCATTTTGTATAAATGCCTTCAATCCGTCTGAGGTTCTCTCCCTAGAGAATTCGTTGCCTAGACAATTAAACAAGGTTAATATTCTCCGTTGTTGTTGTTGGGTTTTCATGCCCTGATTTTAAAGGCGAAGCGAAATAGTCTTCAATAATAATTGAGTCATCAAACATACGTTCGCTTGCCATAACTGGATTTAACGCGCAGTAACTGGATTTATCGCGCAATAACTGCATTTATCGCGCAATAATTGGATTTATCGCGCAATAACTAGATTTACCGCGCAATAATTGGATTTATCGCGCAATAACTGGATTTATCGTGCAATAACTGGATTTATCGCGCAATAACTGCATTTATCGCGCAAAAATTGGATTTATCGCGCAATAACTAGATTTATGATATAAACCCTCATTATTGGCAGAGATCAAACAATTAGCATTTGTTCAGTTTGAGTTAGGCCTTGCAACTCAACTAAATACAATTTTTTGCCTCTGCTGTAAACTAGTTGGATTTACAATGGTTGCATTAGCATTTGGACTGGAATTAGTAATATTGATAATGCAGCTTAAAGCATTTGCTCCTTCTTGAATAATGATATTATCACACCATGTTCCAGGTTGTGACATTTCTTCAATATAATTTTCCCATGAAGTATTTGCAAGTCATATAATTACATGTCTTGCAAATGAGATATATAATTATATTCAAGACACACATCTTCAACATAATTTTCCCATGAAATATTTTAAAGATGACTCAGGATTATGCATTAAATGTGTAATGCCTGGACTAGGAATATCAAGATGGCAATTAGGATTTTTATAAAGAGCTTGTCCTGAGGATGCAAAAAAGCAGTCACCAGGTGAATTTCCACAGTCATAAGACACTCGACCTTTTAATTAAAGCACAGTGATTAAAGTGAACTTATTTTCCAAACATTCCAGGAAAAATTGGTGTTACTATTTGCCGAATACATAGGGACGTCGCCAAGGCATCAACATCGGGGGGGGGGGGATGGGGTCGACATGTTTTGACCAAGTCATAGGAATATTTCCCGAAACCAAAGCTTAGAAATTGTTAAAATTGCGAACGATTTCATAACTTTGAGCAAATTTGACCATCTTTTATCTCAAACTTTGACCTTCAATTTTAAGCAAATGTTTTCCATTGTGACCAACTTTGACCAACGTTTTGAATTATTGGGGGATGTTGCACCCCTCCCCCCCGCCCCGGTAGCAACGTCCCTGTGAATACATACCACCACGTAATTTAGCCCGCTAAGCAAGACAGCCAGGTAAGCGAGATCTCGCTGTGTAGTTATGTTATTTTTATCCCCGAGCCGACGGCGAGGGTACTAATTCCCCCCGGCTATTTACACCCTGAAAAACGAAAGCATTAGCGAAGTCAAAAGTTCATCAATAACCGCGGGCGTGACCAACGATCTACGATCTTGAGTGGGTGGTCATCCTCACTGATCTCAAAAATATGGCTGATTGCATGTAGGAGTGGGATAAGCAAGATTTCAATTTTAAAAGACATATATTTCGAAAATCGTTTAATATACAACAAGCTTGACGCAGTTTTGTTTGAAGAAATGAGAAGAATTGATTTACTATGGGAAAACGTGAAATATACGGCAAGTTTGCTTAGAATATGTAATGTTTACGAATTTTGTTGCTTTAACTTTTTGCCTAAAAACATGAACTGTTTTCCTTTTCAACGAAGCTCATCAATTACCGTTTAATTTGAAAAAAAATCTTAAAATGTGAAGGCGAACAAATTGATTTGAAGACTGAACTGAAATTACCTAAAAATTTGTTTTATTTGTATTAAACTTATTATGTTTTATTAAGTAAAAACAGTTTATCGGCAAAATGTAGTTTAGTTGAATGAACATTTCAAAACATTTTACGAAGTGTTTCAAGTTAAATTTTACATTAAATCAAAACTCACAAAATGCAAAATAATATACCTAAGGTATATATTTCGGAAATTTATTGTTGTATAGTTAAAAGTACGTTCGAATCTTTCAACTATTTTGCAGTTTTGTACAAAAAAATATAAAAAAATTTAAGAATATCGTGTTGTCATTGCAACACTTCAGCGCGAGCCTGCTTTCAGTGTTGGTCATTTCTGTATACTTCATGTTAATTTAATGTTTGGAAAGTATTGGCGAGGGGTTACTGCATGGATGTATTTCTAGTAGTAAAAATTATTGTGCATTTATATGGACAAGCAGGTTGGCCCGGTTGCCGAGATCTCGCCTGAAACAGACGAGATCTCGCCTGAAACAGACGAGATCTCGCTTAACGGGATGGAGATTTCTCCATATAAACATTCACAAACAGGCTAGCCCGGTTCCTGGGATGAAAGGCAAGGCAAGTTATGCATGGATCAATTCTTGTTGTTACCACCCCCCCCCCGGTAATGCAGAAACTTTAATCCCGGGGGTGGCGAATTGTTAGAAAATTTTGTGTCGGGGGTTTCCCCGGGGTAAAAAGCAAAACTCATATCCAGGACCATGTTTTGACCGCGTATCTAGCGGCTAGCGCATCCAGTAACATGTATATAGTTCAGTGAGCGCACGTCCAAAAATTTTCAAAATGGCGACTACCTCGTGTTTGGCAGTTGTTTATATAATCGTGTTATAGTGACTATAGTTTATAATACCAAGTATTTAATCGGTATATATAAACGCACTTTTCAAATTTTACATATGTTTATAACTCTTTCTCAACAGGGTCCAATTGCGTCGATCGCGAGCGATCGACGGCTCGAAATTTCATACTTTCGGTTCAGTGCATGCTTTGAAGACAGAAATACCACCAATCGATTCGGAAATAAAAGATACACTAGTTCCAAACGATAGTTATAGTCATTATTAACATTGTAACGATTTATGGGCCTTTGAAAGTCAAACACGATAATATTGTATCAAATTACGCAATTGTCTGAACAAAATATAGACTAGCTATACCTTTCGCTGAAAATAACTTCGGCCCCTTCGCACATATCGTCTTTGTAATAGTCTTGTTTGAATCCCCATCAAAAGCACTATTTAGAGTGTTATTTGCAAGCGTAGTTAGTAGGTGCATTCTACGTTAATTGTTGATGTTATGGTTTTAAATTTAAGTGTCAGTTCATCACAATCAAGTGACGTGGAAACAGCACTAAACATCAATCTTCTTACTGCAGCTTTTTTTTTTTGGGGGGGGGGGGATGGACAAGCCTATGATGACACTACATCTTCACCACCCAACAAATAAGGTTATTCAAAGAAAGCGTAATTGCCGCCAATTATCTCCTTAGTTGTTGTCTGTGTGCAGAGCTGAAGACTTAATATATTGGATGTATACAAGTACTCCAACACAAATTTAGCAGCAAAACCAATGGTCCTTTTTGAATTTGAAGAATGAGTGAGAGCAGCATTGTCAGGAAATTTATATTCTTAGCAGTTGACATCGATTTCCCCCATGAATCCAATAATTTATTTTCAAGGTCAAGATGACCATAAATTCCCCGTCCACAATCCTTCCTCATGCATTCCTGCACGATGGCCCATGTCAGGAAGGTCTGTTTCAGGAAGTGAAACATTTCTTTACATGCAAACACTTTACAACCACCACTGAAGATGGGATAATCCTCTAAAGATGGGATAATCCGGATGTTGAGGTTCAAGCAATGTTAGAAGAAGTAAGCTACTGTAACGAACTAAACTTACTATAATTTAGGGAGTGGTCATTATTTGTGAGGAAGGGGTTAGCACGTGGGGGTTTAAAACGTTTTAAACTCCTCATCAGTGAAGGTAACGTTTTGATTTCCGCCTCTCATTTGGCAATGCCCATCCCTCCCTATAAATAATGACGAATCCCTTAATTAATAGTAAAAGATATCCTGCAAAAAATCGGTCGACATGTAGCCCTATTCTTTAATGTAAAGCGTTTATTTAGGGTTGCAGGAAGTTGTTGATTCTAATTGTTGAAATCCTAAAACCAACAGTACTGGTAAACATGGAACTCTATCGTATTTTTTTTGGAAAAGAGAACAATAAAATGACAGTATACACAACTAAGATGTGCACACCTCTGAATCAACACTCCATGATACTTGCTAGTTTTATTTGCTACAATATACCTTAGAAGTAGCGAAGATGTAACATAAAGTAAGAAGAACAAGCTGTTTTCATTTAGATAGAGTTAAATTAGAACTTGTTCTTGTTTTACTGATAGTAATATTCAAACTGGTTTTATATTAGTAATTTATCACATGTTTCCCCTGTAAATTGTCCTAAATTTACATGAGAAATCACGCCTGTTTTTTAAGGCTAGTTTATAACATTCATGGCTATAGCTTTATAAACGAAATGAACGAAGAACGTCGTTCTTAGAGAAATTTGAATGCAAAATCTTTTGCAATTTTTGCCACTCATAATCAGGTAGCAGAAAATGTCAACAAAACAGATAGTTGTACGTCGCATCTGAATAACCCATTAGTGCTCAATGTTTTTTTTCATATCCATGCAGAGTTAATTAAGGAAACACTAACGCTGGTGTCACTCGCTACAGACAAGTGTTATGGAGTACTGTTGCCTTCTACTTTTTCAGTTGCTTTAAAAGACGCGTTGCAATTTTCAGGGTTTGCTACAGTGACATCTACATCATACCAATTCAACAACACTCTCTTCGCTTCCTGCGCCGAAGAAGGAATGGTAAACGCCATATCTTCAGTAACACAAGGCTTCGATTGATCTTTAACTGTTTTCAGCTCATCTAAAGATTGCAAAATGTATTTCTTCATGCTCAATATTTGAACATTATTGCCATTCTTAAACGCTCGCTCTGTAAAATCGATACTACTTTCACAACTTGCCAAAGCCACTTCTAAGCCCTCTAACTGCGTGTGAATCTGCTTTTGTTTCGAATTCGTTAACGAAGTCGCTTTTTCCACCATCTCCGTTTTCCGTGACTCTATGCTTTTTGATATCTCATCGAAGTGTTGATTTATTTCTGCGATTGTTGATTCCTTCATAGCCTCCAAACTCTCATTAAATTTCTTCAGGTTTACGATTCCCTGTACCAGTCTGCCTTTCCTCTGCTTTACTTCGTTTAAATTTTCATTCATCTTTTGTTTTTCTTCCACAGCTACTTCATCAGCAAACCCATACTCATGCTGCCGATGATCAACGATGATGCAATCTCTACAGATGGTTGTTTGACATGTTTTACAAAATAATTTGATGACTTCTTCCTTGTGCTTCGGACATCTTATCTTCTCAGCAATGTTGTGTAGACCTTCAGGGTTTGTCTTCAACTCCTCTATGGTCCACAATTCGTGATGTTTCATTGATCGAGACCGTTTATGAAACTCAGTGCAAAACTGACACAAAAATATTCCGCATTCACTGCATCGACTTCGAGCAGCATCTTCGCTGTCACAGCTGTTACAACAAATCTTCTTTGCGGCGGGTTCGTCATTCGCCAACGCCATTGTTGCAAGGAGGTTGTTGACGAAGAAATTTGATGGCAACTTAGAAATTGCGTTTTCGTCAACCTGTAGGAATATTTTAGGCAAGTAATTAGAAACTACCGTTTCTGGTCTTAATAGAGTTCGGCCTATCTAAACGTTGGCACTAAAATAATATAGAGGTTCATATTTGACTTCCATATTACAGCTACCGCTACCATTAAGGGACCATCAACGAATCAGATGCCTTTGGTATATTGGATTGACCAATCAGACACGTATAGTAAGCCAGTGAGATGTAGTGGGAAGTCAAATCTGAACCTCTATAATAACGCGTGGACGCCACATTTGAAGTCGCTCATGCTGGCCGCGATCTGCGTCTCACTTGGGAATTAAACATTCAATTATTCAGGTCTTAGAGAACAAACTGGTTGAAAGCAAGGTCTATACAAGCTCAATATAAACAAGAATAACTGGACTTCAGCATAAAAGATGTTTTGATATCTTTGATATGTTTTTAGGTCTCCTTAAGAGGTTTAAAAGCATAGCTTCAATACGTACACGCTTTGTCATTTTCAAAAATACGAAAATAATACCACTTACGTGATGAACCAGGCGGGAATCGTAATCGTAATATAAAGATTAATGCACAGCATAACGTACGCAAAAGAGCCATATAGACAAGAATATAGACATAAAATGTATTTAAGACATACTACCGTTTCGTCTTTAACTTAAGACATATTCAGAGTAAATGTATATAGTATGACAATGAGTTACAAATATGAATGAATTGCTATTTTCAATACCAAATTACAAGGTAATAGGAATGCGGAGGACGGGGGGGGGGAGTTAAAGGAAACAAGTCAGGGGAGTGAGAGAGAAATGTAGCTACCTTGCTGATTCAAACTAGGTTTTAGCTTGAGATAAGACGACTTTCACGGACGAGAAGTTCATCTGGAGAGGAACAGGATGATAGGATCTTAAAATCATGTTGAGGACTGCCACTCGTCTTAGCAGTTAAGGCAGGAATACCCAGGTGTTCAAAGACTCGTGACACTCGTGTATGTAGATGGCGGACCGTTTGTCCCACATACGACGCGGAACAGCATCGACACTTGAAAGAATAAACTACACAAGACCTCAAAGCATAGGGAATTTTGTCTTTAAACGTGAAGAAATAGGACAAACGTAGAGTGGGACGAAACACGATTCAACGATCAAAGAGACGAGTAGAATAACCGTTCTGGTTGACGATTTCTCTAAAAGCTCATTCTGAGCATGAAAATTCTCATATTTAGAGCAAATATTGAAAAAAAAGGTGTAATAGTGAATATATTAAACCACGTTTAAATTGTAGGTTTACACTAAACAGAGGTTTCAAAGTGGCCATTGGTTCGTGTAATAGTAATGTCAAGGAAAAAAAAAGTTGACAATTGGGATCAACTTCACAAGTGAAGTTAATGTTAGGATTTTGGCGATTGAGATAAGCAAGAAAAAGAGGAATATGGTCCCTAGAACGGAATAGAAGGAAGGTATCGTCTACATGTCGACGATATAATAAGAGCTTAAAATTGGTAGGGCAATTATTAAGCCAAGTGGTTTCATGAAAGGATAAAAAATGTTAGCAAACAGAGGCCCAAAAGGAGAGCCCATTGCTACGCCGTCTACCTGTTGATATAGGGAACCATTGAACAAGAAATGGCAGTTTTTGACAGCACAAGTCGAGAGTTGTTTGAATTCAGAGCGAGTGAGATATGAAAACGGATGGCATTCGAAAACAAGCGATCAGCAATTATTTCTTTGGTTTCGTCCATCGCGGGATATTAGTAAACAACGACGTGACATCAAAGCTAGCCATGGTATGACTTGACAATTCCTGCACGAAGGAGAAAGAATCACGAACCATGAAGCCACTAGAGCAAAAAGGACTTAGAATGGGAACAAGGAACTTCGCAATCTGATAAGAATAATTATTAATACATGATAGATTTGGTCTAAGTGGAATACTGTTCTTGTGTATTTTCGGAAGTCCGTATAAGATACCAATGCGAGAGCCAGTAGGATAGAGTTGTTTATAGTGTAAAGAATATATATACAGTATATGTTATTTACCGGATTGGAGGTCCGTATAGAGAAATATTTCTCGAGGTCTTAAAAACGGCCCGAGCCCGAAGGCCGAGGGACGTTTTTAAGACCGAGAGAAATATTTCTCTAAACGGACCGACCATACCGGTAAATAATGATCGCTGATGTGCTGTCGAAGCGGATTTGTAAGAATCGAGGCTTTTCAAATTCTTGTGACCGCTCATTTGGGCGACGTAATTCTCGGGAATATCGGCATCCATTAAACGGGAAATACAGGTTTTTCTCACCGAGTGGTTTGTGATGTTACCAGGCAATTTAGCAGCTTCCGCAGCCTTTGAAAGAAACTTGCCAATTTCGTTTTTTCCGAGTGGAGCTTTGTTATACCAGATCTGAGAACCTGGCCGGCGACGGTGGTTAATAGCCAGGAAGAATGAAGAGTCCGGCTGTTTTAGGCCGTAGGATGAAGGCCTAAATTGAGCTTAGAAAACCAATGTCATTACAAGCTTCAAGGGAGATAATAATTTTTTCATAGATAGAAAGAGGATGCCTTACTTAATAAGAATCCACTTCCCCCCAAGCGAAATAGTTGCACAAATGAGAATAAATCGCCTTCAAAGTTCACGCTCCATCGTGCTTTCAAATTCACGAGCGGCCATTGTTTTCGTTGCCAGTACGCATGCGTGTGACGAAACAACACTAAATGCGCATGCGCAGATAAGCTAAGACAGAAATTCAACATGGCTGATGCAAATGAGATCTCTCATGCTCGAATTAGTTCATGTTTTATGCATTTTGAAGGGGTGACCGAGCAACTTTGCCAAGTCTCTCGTCAAAGGCTAAAGAAATTTATTGAATGTAGACATAAATGGGCTAAACTTGATTGTGTACAAGCTGATATAGCGAAGAGTTCGTATAATAAGTTCGATGACGACTTCGTGAATACGTATTTGGCCGAGAACACCGAAAGCAGCTTTGCTGTCAAATGGTACCACCATATGAGATGTTACAAGAAATTTTGCGACGAAGAGAAGATCCGAAGACAAGAGAGAAGTGAGGAAAAGCGAGCAAAACAAATTACAGAAACTGTTCCTATTACTGAAGACTCATCCATGGAACCAATCGAAGAGCCAAGTAGAAAGGTTACGCGTAGTTCTCAAATATGTAGTTCAGTTGCTGCCCAAAGTAAGACCTTGCCTCAAAGAAATCAGTATGTACTGCCAGAGTGTTGCATTATTTGTGGAAGAGATGCTTCTTGGTTTAGAACAGACAAGGTATGACCACTTCTTCATGTTTTCAATTGATAAAAAAAATTCATACTATAAAATGCTGTGCACATGATGTATTAAACTGAGATCGGTATTTGACTATTTTTAAAGTATGGAAATTAAGCTATTGCAGCTAGTTTGTCTAATACAAAGTATACATGTTTAAGCTATTATATCAAGAACCTATCGCTATGGGGAACATGAGAACATTGGTGATTGGTCTGTTTATTTCTTGCTAGTATATCACTAATATAAGTATAAAATGACAAACAGGCATTCAAAATATTTGCACTTTGTTGTAGAAAACAAAAAAGAGAACAAGAACACCACTTGTATTGGCAGCAACAATCGATGCTGGACTCTTGCGTACTGCTGCTGAGAAGAAAAATGATGAGGAGATACTAATGCATATTAGAGACAAAGACTGTGTTGCATTGGAGGTCCGCTATCATGGAATTTGCTATAATAACTACACCAAATTCATAACAAAGCCAGTAAAAGAGACAAACACATGTGCACCAATCTATGAAAAGTCATACAAAGTATTCTGCAAAGATGTCATTGAGTTGGAAATCATCAAAGGAAAAGCAATAAAGTATATGAAGGAGTTACTGAGTAAATTTATTGTCATTGTGAAGGAAACTGAAAATGTTGATGCATCTAAATACAGGGCTTTCAGCCTCAAGCAACGACTAATCAATAGTTACCCTCAACTTGTTTTCTTCATGCAAAAGTATAGAACTGTTGGCGAGATTGTTTATGCTGAGAACTTGCGTCCATCTGATTTTGTTGGGGAACATATGTTAAATAAATCTATACATGATGATGAAGACTTTGATGAAGCAGATTGCATGAGTGAAAGTGAGGTGCCAAGTGAAGAATCACATACAGAAGCAGCTGCAAGTTCCCAAATTAATGAGTTGCAAGTGTTGTATAATGCAGCATTAATTTTGAATCAGAAGGTTAACAAAATCCCAAAA